GAGAGAGAGAGAGAGAGAGAGAGAGAGAGAGAGAGAGAGAGAAACAAAAAGAAAGAAAACACCAACTACATTTTGGCATTCCAAAAGATTCCAAATTTCCATGAAGGGTCTAAGAAAGGTCACAGGAAAAAAAGAGGCTATAGCTCCTTTAAGAGTTTCTGCTGGGAATTTCTCTAGTGCCAGTTTCTCCCTAGCCTCCTAATGGCTCCCTCAGTAAAGATATCTCTTTCCTAGCTCTCCCTCTCTGTCTTTTTTCCATCGCCACCATCCCTCTTCCTTGTTCCCTCCAACTCCCCTTCCTCCCTCCCTTCTCTAACCCACCATGCTCCCAATTTTCTCAGCGACCCTGTCTATTTTCCCCTTCCCAGGGAGATGCATGCATTTCTCTCTTAGGGTTCTCCTTGTTACCTAGCTTCTCTGGGGTCATAGCCTATAGACTGATTATCCATTGTTTTATGAGTAATATCCACTTACGAGTGAGTACACACCATGATTGTCTTTCCCAGGAATCCATGTGGACAATTGAAGCTTAGAGCTGAAGCAGTAGTGGAGAGGGTTCCTGAACTGGCCTTGCCTTGTAATCAGATTGGTGACTACCTTAATTGTCATCATAGAACCTTGCATCCAGCAACTGATGGAAGCAGATGCAGTGAGCCACAGCAAATCAGGGTGTTGAGTTCTCAAAGTCCAGTGAAAGAGAGGGAGGAGGGATAATATGAGCAAAGGTTCAAGACCATGATGGGGACACCCACAGAAACAGCTGACCTGAGCTAGTGGGAGTTCACTGACTCTGGACTAACAGCAGCGAAACCTTCATAGGACCAAACTAGGCTCTCTGAATGTAGGTAACAGTTGTGCAGCTGGGGCAGTCTGTGGGGCCATTGGCAGTGAGACCAGGATTTATCCCTGTTGCTTGAACTGGCTCTTCGGAGCCCATTCTTTTTGGAGAGATACTTAGCTCAGCCTAGATATAGGGGGGGAAGGTCTTGGTCTTGCCTCAAAGTGATGTGCTAGACTCTGTTGAGTCCCCATGGGAAGACTTATCCTTTCTGAGGAGTGGATGGTGGAGTGGTGGGTGGAAGGTGGGGGAAGTGTGAGGAGGGCAAGGAGTAGAAACTGGGATTGGTATATAAAATGAGAAAAGAGTGTTTTTAAAAAAATAAATTTAATTAATTTATTTAATTAAAATTTAATTAAAAAAAGAGTTTCTGCTGGATAGTGAGCCCATTAGCAGCTGGTAACTTAAACAAAAAATTTAAGTAAAAATGCCAGTCACAGTGCAGGGCACTTGCATTCCAGAGTTGAGGGGTTGCATGCAGTTCATGGTCAGACATGCTGCCCCTGTGCCTCGAGCTTTAAGGCTTGACTCCCAAGACCCAAAAGGACGTGAAGTCAGCTGCCAAAGTCCATGGAGGTCCTGCCCATGCTGCTTAGCAGTGGTTTGCTCATGCAGACAAAAACACTTCTAAAAGCTTCTAAACAGGTTACAGTGGGTTTAACCATGTGCAGAGTCATAAGGAAAGAAAAAGGGTATAGATCATCACAGAAAGAAAGAAATAGTTTAAAATAATAAAGTAAATGCTTTAAAGAGAGAAGTAAAGTAATATATATATATATAAAAAAGAAAGCCACGCAGCTAGGAGAAATACAAAGGGAATCTGGAGCCTGTGTGTTAAATCTTTTGATTGCTGACGAGCAAATGACAGCTGCTAAGACACAGTTTTGAAAGAGGGACTGCTGAAATAAACAGTCTAGACAGTTAAGAATTCCTTAACTTTATTTATTTATTTTAAAGGGTTCTGCCTGCACACTAGAAGAGGGCACCAGATCTCATTACAGATGGTTGTGAGCCACCATGTGGTTGCTGGGAATTGAACTCAAGACCTCTGAGAGAACAGCCAGTGCTGTTAACCTGTGAGCCATTGCTCCAGCCCAAGAATACCTTAACTTTAAAATAAAACACAAAAAAAAATGCATTGCTTTGGAGAAGAGGTTTTGCTTTTATTTCCACAGGAAATGAGAGGCTATAGATTCCTTTAGGTTTGAAATGGATTAGGTTTGCTTGGGGAAGAACCTCCTGAATATCGATAGGTGATATCTATCAACAAAGGTTACATTTAATGTAAAGCTAGCTAGTTAGTAAACTAGCTTTCACAGGACTTGACCATTATCTCAATTTTCTCAGGGTTCCCTAAGGATGCCTTCACCCACAGACAACAGGAAAAAGTCTGGATAACATGATGCCCACGTTCCCACAAAGTGGGGGTGGGCTGTTGTTTGTTATTGTTACATATCGATAGGTTATGTATGTTTGTTATCATTTGCGGGAAATATAGAAATATAGGGTAGAAAGACAGCTGTTAATTCTGAGATATTTTGCAATGGTATGGATTTTGGCATATGGATAAAAATTTAAAGTTATTTTTGTGCACTGTATGCAGGTTTCTACCCTTGTTTGGGATATTATGCTTATACAGCTCATTTAAAAAGGCAATGCATAACTAAAATATGAGGTTAGTAGTTGATCTATAATAACCAAATTTTCAGTCACATTAGATATGTTTTCTATGTGAAATATGAATATTTTAGACAGATGATTTTTAATCACTTCAAAGACCTACAAAATATGACGTTTAAGCTGTTTCATAACCTAAGGTTTTTCACGACAGAGAGATACATCTGCTCCTGTCAGCACCAATTTATTTCATAAAAGGATGATGGGCATCAACGAAATACCATATAGATTTTTGCTTTAAACATAGCAAGTCTAGCCATTTGGGCAGAAAACTGCTTTTGCCTTGACTCCTGACAGTATGCTTTACAGACTAGACAAGCCGGACACAGACAACTGTTGAACTTTGCCAAGACAAGGAAGGACAGTCCTTTGAGGAAGCCCTATACTTCAATGTCATGGAATGTTATATAAAAGTCAGTGGGACAAGTCTCCAAATCAGTTCATCTCATAAATGACAGCATGGTGAAGTGCATGATGGCCTTGTCTGCCATCTCTGGGAACACCACACCTGCCTTATGATTTCATCAACTACTTCTGTTGAATGTGGTCCAGTGGCACACAGCTCCTTAGTGTAACAAATCCCAAAGTCTTCTCCATGATCCTCCTCTACATTTATGACAATGGCTTTGTCCATTTGAGAAGAATGGCCATCACTCTTGCTGAATCTTGGGTCAAGCTGCTTCTGGGAGTCACAAGTATCTTGTGTCATTTCAGAGACTGTGACTTTACCTTTATTCCCTCCCATCCCCAGTCAGGTGCATATTGCACATCCAGATGCAGGTCCATGAGCAACAGGGTCCACAACAGTATGATAGAAGTGGTCACATTCCCTATGATGAATATGCCAGCTACCACAATATGCAAGTTCTCATCATTGAAGCTTCTTCAGCATTCCCCTTGACCTGGGCTTGGTAGAGAGGGTGGTCTTGGAGGGTGAAGAGGTAATCTAGTTAATCTTAATCAATAAACACCTGGGTATCAGATATTTGGATAAAAACCTGGAAGAGAACCAGAGAACCAGGAGTACCTGCCAATTGCTTCCTACCTATCCCTTTTCTCTATCCAAAAAAGGAGGTGAGATCCTGCCTCCACCCCATCTTATCATGTCCTGTCTCTGCCTTCAGAGTTCTGGAATTAAAGGTGTGATCCTGGAGTGCTGGAATTGAAAGTGTATGCCACCACTGCCCAGCTTGTATGGTTAATTAGTGGCTTGTTCCACACTCTGAACGCCAGGCAAGCTTTGTCAGAACACACACATATACACACACACAAAATCACACATTTCCTCCTTTTGTCTAAATAAAAAGTTTTAACTAATAATGTAAAATTATATACTGATGTGGGATGTCCTTCTGTGTATGTGTTGCTTTTATTGGTTAATAAATAAAGCTGTTTTGGCCAATGGCTTAGCAAAGTAAAGTCAGGTGGGAAATCTAAACAGAGAAAGAAAGTAAGCAGAGTTGGACAGATGCCATGTAGCTGCTGAAGGTAAAAGGCACCAGAACATTACTAGTAAGCCACAGCCTCATGACAATACATGACATAAAAATGGTTAATTTAAGATATAAGAACTAGATAGAAATATGTCTGAACCATTGGCAAAACTGTGCAGTAATTAATATAGTTTCTTTCTGGTTATTTGGGTCTAGGTGACCAGGAAACAAAAGTTCAGACTGACTACAAATAGCATCCAAATATTTGGCAATAACTTCTACATAAAGCCTGACAAAGCTTCAAAGAAAGGTTCTAGACAGACAAGAACAGAGTCAAGTGCAGTTTCTTGGCAACTGTCTTTTCTCCAGTAGACTCTGATTGCTATAGGCAAACAGAGGCACAACTCCTTTAAGAGAGGCTTCTTAACTCAGCCTTAGTGGCAAAAACCTTTCAGCTCTTTCAAGAGGCTTTGTCACAAACACTTAAATGGTGTTTGTGAGCAACTGGCAGAAGGCTTCTTGGTTGTGGCAAACATGGCTCTTGTCAGTATCTCTGCCATGAAGCTAGACTTTCAGAAAGCTAAGGAATGGAGTGGAGCCAGCCCCCAAATGTGCAGCTTTAATCGTAGTCATGCTGCTTAGCAGATTTAAGACTCATGTAGTCAGAAAAAGATAGATATATACAGTAAAGACAGATTCTGAAGGGAAAGCCCTCTAAATGATTTACAATGTGTTTAAAAGCATGCATAGGCTCAGGAGAGAAAAATACAGAAAGTCCTTAAAATAAGAAATAAAGTAGCAGGACATAGTGGCACATGCCTTTAATTCTAGCACTTGGCAGATCTCTGAGTTTAAGGCCAGCCTGGGCTACAGAATGACATCCAGGACAGTTAAAGATACACAGAGAAACCTTGTCTCAAAAAACCAAAATTTAAAAGATAAAAATAAAAGAAATAGAGTAAAAAAAAGCCATGTAGAGATGGAAAATACACAAAGACTCTGGATTATGTATATTATTGTGTTTGCTTTGAATTTTTTGACTATGAGTGAGGTAGGTACAGGGTGACATTTCATTGTATGGGCTGCTAAACTAAACCAACATATATATTTTAAAGGTATCTTGACATCAAAATTTAAGTCTAAGGACATGTTACTTTGGAAGAGAGGTTCTGCTTTTGTTTCCACAGAGGATATGAAAGGTGTGGATTCCTTATTGGCTAATATTGTTTGATCAAACAAGACCCCTTGAAGCAATGGCCCAGATGGTCCAACATCCATGACAGCTTTAGGACTGCTGCTGAGATGGATCAGCCACACAGGATACCCTATGAAAGACCTGATTAACAGCACCCCCAGGAAGTAGGAAGTAGTCTAAAAAACTATTCCCAAATTCCCAAATATTGTTTATAAATACTTGTTTTTATTTTAAAGGGGTTTGATTGTAAATGATTAATGGTTATAGTCAGAGTCTTTACAAAAGAAAAAAAAGGGGGATATGATATAGAGATGAATACTTTACATTGGTATGAACTTTGGTTTATTGATACAAATTTAAGGTCAATTTTCCCTACTATATTGTTTTTATTTTTAGTCAGTGTAGATTCCATTCACTTTCTATGGCATATTATTTCTATTAAAATTCATTAAACATCCTTGAAATTGAATATATATTCCACCATTTCTTTCACCAAGCAGTTTATAAGAAATAAATCATCTAAATGAGACAAACAACAGACCAGATAATTTTTTTTAAATTCTTCATATATTGTTGGTTTTATTAAGTGAATTTAATTTTTATTAATGTTACTATTTTTAATATTATTGCATAATCACATCATCTACCCCTTTCCTTCTTTGCCTACAAACCCTCCACTTACCCGGTCTTGCTGTCATTCATACTCGTGACCTCCTTTTTCAATACTGTTGTTACATACATATATGTATATACTTATACATATACATATATATATTATATATTACTAACTTTAACCTGCTCAGTTTCATTATATGTATATTTCTACTCTTATTTAAGGTATTATTTTTAAGGTATTATCTCATTTAAAAATGTAATGTATCATTAAAAGTTGTGGATTAATAGACAATCATCTCTAATAGTCAAACTTGTAGTCATGTTGTATAGATTGTTGTTTGTAGATGTACAGAAATATATTTCAGATGGATGGGTATTCAAACCTCTCAAAGACCTACAGAATATGGCATTTAAAATATTTTAAGAACTTAGGCTTTTCTCAACAGTAAGAGGAGAAGCACTAATTACTTCAGAGAGGCTGATAAGCATCAAAGAAACTTGTTATGGAATTTGCATTCAATGTAATGAGACTAGCCATTTGTACAAGAAACTGCTCTTGCCTTGACTGCTTGATAGCATGCAGTGTGAACTGGACAGGCAGGCTGCATAAAAATTGACTCCTGAATGTTCCAGAAGACTAGATGGTCCTCCAGAGTTCTTGCTTCACAGAAAGAACTGCCAGACATTCTGCAGGACACAGAAGAAAGCAACTGATGAATTTTGCCAGTACAAGGCAGGGCAGATCTTCAAATACCCTGCTTCACAGAAAAGTCTGTCAGATATGCTAAGATTATAGGTAGAAGATAGATGCACCAACATTACAGAAGAACTTTGGGTGACTGTCCAGGTAGTGAGATGTCTCTGTCAATTCTAGAGGGTTGGAGTTGCTTACAATACACTTTCTTTTTACTTATTTCCAGTGTCTGGGGTGATACTGTCTTTAAAGCACCCCGAAAAAAACTGGGATAATTTTCAAGTCTTGGGAGAGCTAGCTGTATCATTTGTTGTCCAGTCTCTGTGTAAAGGGAAAGTGCAAGGCTTATCACAAGTTCTGGTTGGAGTAGTCTGTGAGGCTGGACCATCTCAATTAATCACCTTGAAGTTGTCCTGAGCAGTTTGTGCTCCAAAGCTGATCTTTAGATGGTAGTGTTGTCATAGTTCTGGTGGGATTGTGGGGCCTCATCATCCTTTTAGAGACTTCAAAATTTGCTGTTTGGCATGGTCATGATTTCCTGCAGAAAATTTAAACATTTTAAATGTCATATGAAGCAGATCTCAAAGAGGTTAAAGGAACATAATTGGTTATACATCTCTAGCATACATATCTTAATTCCTAGTTACCTGAGAGACTCATACTGTAAACCATGTATGAGAAAACAGATGAAGCCTTTTTCTAGAATTAGTTAGTACTCTATAAGACCATTGATATCATGACAAAGGTTTTATATGTATGTATATGTATAGATATATAAAATTTTGAGATAATATTATGTCATGAGAAAAGTTTTAAAGAGTCAAAATAGTATCAAAGAATTATGAGATTAATGGCAATAGAATAGCCCTTAATTTTGGTTTTTCTTCTGTTCCCTATCAGGTGGCTCTTCTGATATAGTACAGAGGTTTTTGATTTTCATTTAACAAGCATGCTTGGGATTGGAGAAGGAAAGAGTCATGCTTCAACTCCAAAACCAGCTTTAATTTTTAATTAAAGTGGGACTACAAACAGAACATTTGTATTATATGTAGAGAACAGCAGAAACAAACACTTGAGAATATCTGTGAAAGTTTATTCTGTTGGAAATGTGATATACCAATAGGCCAATTTACTTTTTCTTGGGACATTTTCTCTGGATGATTCATCCCTTTTCTTCAGATGTCTCATTTGTACAGTGGTCTTCAAATTTCTTAGCTAGTTGTCTTCATTCTCCTGGAAAGACAAAAAGAAAACCCTCCCCAACCCTAACTTTGGGCAGGTTTCCTTTTGACAAGTGAAAAGCACTTGTTAGTTTTATAAGTTAGTTTAGATTGAATTGTCACACTGTCTGATTGACTATCACCTCTTCTAATCAAGAGTTCTCTCTTGTTCAAATCTAATCTTTATAATATTTGTTTTATGGATTCTCTTGAATTTTTGTTTTATCTTCTAAAGCTGTTCCATCTTTCAGAGCAGTATGGTTTTATACAATAGGCATTAGGTCCTTTAACAGCTCTGGGAAGGAGTTTCCCCCATGGTAAATGACTGAATCAAGTTTGACATGGGGCTATGCAACAGGCCCCCAAGGCATTTTCCAATAACAAAGGTTATCTTGTCTGTCACTTATTGATCTATATTCATTGTTCTAATGTCAGCCTTTGCTATACTTTATGCATACTCCAGAAGACAAGGGCTTTGTGTTTAGATTGGTAAAAGTATTGTTTCTAGGAATTCCCTGTCAACAATCCCTTTTTGGGTGACCTTGTTTGCCACAATTAAAACACCTGACATTTTGAATTTTCTTCGAGCCTTTGGACATCACCTGGCCTATCCAATTATCATCATGGTTATTACATTCAATATTGACTGAATTTAAGACCTATTCCTCTATGGGTGCTTATCTTGCCTTTAAAGGCCTTATTATCCTTTAGAAATGTGAATTAACATTTTTAAAAGCCAAAGATTCAATTATTATTTGTTTATCTTCTGAATTTGGTATCATTCTATTTACAACTGAATTCTATCTTAGTAAAAATCAGTGAAGGTTTCTTTTGAGCCTTGTATAAGTTTAGTAAATGATTCAGTTCCGTTTCTGACTTCTTAAATTCTGTCCCAAGCATTCAAAGCTGCTACAGTGCATAGAGTCAAGGTGTGGTCATCATGTGGAGACTGTCTTTGTACATCAACATAATCATCCTCTTCAAGAAGTTGATCTTGTGAGATTTCCATACCTCTAGTCCTACTTCATTGTTGAATAGTCTAACCTCATCTTTCTACCAGGTCTTCCACTGTAATTGAGGACCTGGCTCCAATACTACTGTAGCCAAGTCTTTCCCATCTTGTGGGACAGTTATGTTATTAGTTGACCATGAATTTAGCATCTGTCTCACAAAAGGTGAATGCATATCATATGAGATGGTATGCTTCCTTAAATCTTCTCAGATCTATCATTTCCTCAGGAATCCATTCAGTGTTTATATAGCCTTGAGAATACCTGTCATTTGGCAGTTCCCATAAGGTGACTGGAAAAGTAAGGTTGCTTGTTTGAAAATCTTGAGCTATTCCTCTTAAATTTTATAATGTAATCCTGAGGTTGGTTCTCCCTTAAATTCCTCTGTCTTTATCTGAATATCTTTTTTTTTATCTTTTAAGGCTTATAACTTACCAGTCAAAATGGCATTGTTTTCTCTAGAAACTGTTTTGTGATCTTTTGATCTTTTTCTTTTTGGGGTGCCCACCATCCAGTTCCCAAATAAATCACACAGGGAAGCTTATTTTTAGTTAGGAATGCCTAGCCTTAGCTTTGCTTGGTTCTTGCCAGCTTTTCTTAACTTATACCGAGTACTTCTTGCCTCTGGGATTTTCCATTTTCTTACTTCTGTATATCTTACTTTCACTTTTATTCCATGCCTTACTAGATGGCTGGGTGCCTGGCTTCTGATGTCCTCCTCCCCTTGTTCTATCATTGATCCTCATGTCCTTTTTTGACCTTCTATTTATACTCCCTGCCAGTCAGATGTGCCTATCCTTGCTCCTGCCTCGCTTTTGACCATTTAGCACTTTATTAGGACCATCAGGCAAAGCGAGGCAAAGAATCACAGCTTCACAGAATTAAGCAAATGCAGCATAAACAAAAGCAACACACCTTAAAATCATATTACCCAACATTTCCCCAGTTTTTTTCTTTCTAAACAAAAATGAAAGGTTTAGCTTTAGCATAGTACCTGTACAGTAAGAACAATTATCAAGTAAAGATTACATTCGCAATGTACTGAATTCCAATTCATTTGTATCTGGTAAATTTAGAGGAGATAATACATAACCTATCTTATCTTAGTAAATCCAAAAAATTATGCCCAACTTACTTTCTACTATATTTTAGGAAAACTGCAAATAAACTAATTAGTCTTCAACACCAACAAAGGCACCAGAAGGATATACTATTCAAAAAACAAACATGCAATTGCTTCCAAAAACTCTAGAAATGACATAGACATCTAACTGTCTGGATGGTCACCCAAAGATCCCTTCAAACATTGGGATATCCATCTTTGATCTATAGGCACATAGTATCTGTCAGACTTTTCAATGAAGCAGGAAATTTGAAAGACTCTCCTGCCTATATTGGCATTGTTTGTCAGTCACTTTCCTCTGTGTCCTTCAGAATGTCTGGCAATTTCTTCTGGGATCAGGAACCCTGAAGGACTATCCTTCCTTGTTTTAGCAAAGTCTAGTGGTCACTTTCCTGTGGTCCTGCATGTCCAGTTTGCACAGCACATAGCCAAGCAATAAAGGCAAAAGAAGTTTTGTTTTTTGTTTTTTGGGTTTTTTTTTTCCCAAATGACTGATCTTGCCACAATGAAAGCAAAGTCCTATGGCGTTTCTTCGATGCCCATCATCCTTTCTGAAGTAAATAGGTGCTGCCAGGAGCACATGTGTCTCATTGTCATGAAAAGCCCTTAATTAGCAAGACATTTTAAATGCCATATTCTGTAGGTATTTGAAAAGTTTGAAGACCATCTATCTCTCTAAAATATATCTCTATATGATCTGGAAAGCATACCTAACATATCTACAAATTTGATTGTTATAAATGACTAACTACCAACTAATTCTTGATTATTCTAAATAGTTTATAAGAATAGTTTTCAAAAACTAGAAATTTACCTTATATTTTTAAATGAACTGCATAGGTACCATACCTTAAATAAGATCATAAATATATTAATAATTATTTTTATCCTATATTCCCCGAAATTATAGCAAACATGCATGACCTACAAAATAATCAAAGGCCTCCCACAACCTAAATCTTGGGAATGTAGACATTGTTTTCTCTAGAATGATTTCTGCTGAATGGGGGCAAGGGCATCCCCAGGTGTATCTGAGAAAAAATTGAGATGAAGACCAAGTCCTGGGAAGATCACTTATAACCTCTGTTGATAGATTTTATCTGTAAAGTTTCCAGAAGTATCCTTTGATCACATCAGATCCATATCAACCTGGAATAATTCCACAGCCTCTTGCTTCCTATGGAAACAAAAACATAACCACTTCTCCAAAGCATTTTGATTTCCATTTGACAAATACATTTTTGACATTTTTAAAGTTAAGGCATTTTTAAAGTATCTAGTCTGTTTTATTTCAACAGTCCATCTTTCAATTCCAGGTCTCTTAGCAGCTGTCTTTTGCTTTACAGCAATCAAAAAAATTCAAAATCAAAACAATAGCACACTGGAATCAGACTCCTGTGTATTTGCCATCTTTATGTGACTTTTTTCTTTTACATTTACTTTTAAGACTTTATTTTATTTTTTTAAAGTCATTATTTCCTTCTATACCTGTCTATGCCCATTTTCTTTCTTAATACTACAAACATTGTCAAACACACTGGAACCTGTTTAGAGGTTTTTCTGACTGGACCTCTTTTACTGAATGTACTTTACCCTTTTTTGAGTGCACATGAAAACTTCAGACTGTTAAGCTATACCTGGATCCTCAGAGTGCTCTATGGGCTGGATGCTCTAATTCTTGGGCTGGGTTGGGAAGGTCAAACATAAAGTTTGCACCCAGGTTGAAGGTTTAAGACCAGAAACTGCATTCAACCTTCCT